AGATACGTAGCGGGAGTACCAGAACTTATTTGGCAGCAATATTAAGCAATAGAATAATGTCATACAAAAGGGGAAACGTCTGGAAACTGAGTGAAATGGGAGATCATTCCCAGAGACATGTGTAGAGAGCTGGTCAGGAGGTCAGAACACTTTCAAAAATAACGACCATCATTCATATTTATGATTGTTATTGCAATATTTTTTAAAAGAAGTTGTTAAGCACAACGATACGATAGTGGAAATTTCAACAAATATATAATTTTTGAACTCGTCATAGGCTTATCCAGTTATTAACTAAGTTTTAAGATTCATCAGAAAATTCAAATACAAAAACCGTGGAATTTTCACTAGTTCTTCTATTTAATATTTAGTGTCTAACTAGCAGCATGGCCCGGCGTTGCCCGTGCTTGATTAAAAAATAGTACGACTCATACAGCAATCACTATCACTTGACTTAAAATATTTTTGCCTTTCCTTGCCTTTAAAGGAGTGCCCTTTGCCGTGCTTATATTGCTATATGCCTTACTTCTTGCCTATCTCACACTGCGAATTTTCTATGCTCTATACTAAAAATAAAATCTGTTACGAAAAAAGAACTAAACAAAATGAACACGAAACGATCAGCTAACTGGAAAAACCGAATGAAAAAAGAATGTTAACAACAAATATTTTTCACACCCAACCCAGTTGTGCGGAATCAGAATCAACGTTGAGTTTAAGCAAGCGAATGAGCCAATTGGAGTAAAGTGCCATGCAGATTTAAATTTTTCCCACTTGTGACGAATGCAGCTATCGAATTTTTTGCATGTTAGTATGCTAGTTAACATTCGTGTAAGTCAGCTGTTGGCTCTCACACTGGCCAATAGAATCTTCCTGCCTATTCGTGGCAGCCAGTCTCACTCTGGCCAGTAGAAAATGGCCCCAAACTACATAAAAACTACATAAAAACTGCCGTAGAAGCATGAAAAAATCGATTATTTCCACTATCGATGGGAGTTGGGAAATGCAAAGTCGGTGTTGGCCTTCCCGCTAACTTGGAGCATGTGCATGTACATTTTGGTGCAAATCCGTCGAAAATTTCGGCCGTGCATTCGTTAAACACACACACACACACACACACACACACACACACACACACACACACACATCCCGTCTTTTATAGAGATACATTTTTTTATTGCAAGCTGTATATGCTAATGTCAGTTTATGCGTTCATCAACTCGAAGGAAATGCAGGTCGTCCCAAAAATTTGACATCCTTTTGCAGGCCAATAATTTTGGTAAATTTTGTTGAAATAACCTCAGATTTGCACAGAATGTATAGAAACAGATCAAGATTTAATATTTAATGTTTTATTTTTGTTCTATTTTCATGCTGAGCCATGCTGTTCACTCTCCAAGAGAAGTCATTTTGCGTCTGGGACTATTTCATGCACACAGCAACCCAAGACTGTGCAGCGTGCCTTCAATGCAAAATTTGGAGAAACTTCAACTGGCAAACAAATTTGGATTTGCTACCAAAATTTAAAGAGGAAGGCTGCTCATACAGGATCTTGTAGACCATTATCAACATCATCGTGTTCGGCAAGAGTTTAACTATCGACTTGACGTGTTCTGTGTCAAAGGCTGTGCACATATTGAATGAACACTTATGAAATCTGTCCCATAATAAACTTACGATGTTTAACAATTAAATTGTTCAACTTCATTATGATAGACTTAGTAGTTTTCAAGATAATTGCTTTGAAAATGATATCAAATTTTTTGGAAAACCCAATATGTCTTATTTTACACTTTATTCCGAGTTCACATGTTAAACTCTATCCACTCTGCATAAAAAAGAAGACGATCACACTGTACTTTGGGTGTAGTAATGGCGTCAATAAAGACTAACATGACACGAGAAGCTGATAAATAAGGACAGGGGTCATTGATAGAAAGGTGTATTTTAGGGATATATAGTCAGTATCAAGTATTACATAGACGCATGATGTAGATAGGTATGAATGGTAGAGGGTTAGGGAGATGAGACTTCGGGTGGGAACAGACGAAAGGAGGAAGAATGTAAACGAAATTAGTGGGGCCTGCGTAATTTTCCGTATTTCTTTCTTGATTGGATTCGATAATATTTTTTTTCTTTTAGTTTATTGTTTATGTGGAGCATGGGAAGTACTTTTTTCCCTTTTTTTGTGGAGAGTGTTTCTTTGTGAGGAATTACGGTAAGAGCATGAAGAAGAAACTCAAGAAAATCGGAAAAAAGAAGAAGAAAATTTAAAATAATATTAAAATAAAAAAGGGCCTAGGAATAAAAAGATGGAGTATTGTGGAATGAAGGGCAGGAATATAAAAAACACAAATAAAATTAACGAACAAAGCTAAAATGAAAGAATGAAGGAATTTACATCAAGAATGAAAACAAGCAAGAAAGAATATAAAGGAAAATTTCGGAATACACAAAAGAGAAAACGATTAATTATTAGAAAGAAAAAACTTAAAACGAAAAAAAATAGGACAGAAAAAAGAGCAAAGAAGAAAATTAAAGAATGAATAAAAGAAAAATGAAAAAGAATAGAAGAATAAAAAGTGAAAGAAAAAAGACAAATATAAAAGAAAGAATGAGAGAAAATATAGAATAAATGAAAGAAAAATGAAAGAAAACAAAAATGAACGAGAGAAAGAAAAATTAAGAAATAAAGGAATAAATGAGGGGAAAATAGAATAAAGACTAGAAGAATGAAGGAAAAAAAGAAAGATCAAGAAAAAACAAATAAATGAAAGAAAGAAAAAGAAAAGAAAGAATAACGTAGAAAGAAAGTATACAAAGGAAGAAAGAAAGAAAGATAGAAAGAAAGAAAGGTTTGTTTTGTTTTGTTTTACGGTATATCAACCTCAATGGGTTATTTAATACCGACAAGATTTTTTATTGCTGCTAATATTTTTCCCAAAAATGTATTGCTGGTAATATTTTTTGTTTCAAAAATATATTATTGGTAATATTTTTTTTTTTTAAATGTATTGCTGGTAATTTTTTTTGAAAATATATTGCTGATAATAATTTTCCGAAATAGTATTATTGTTGGTAACAATGTATTGACGGTAAATTTTTTTCTTCGAATATTACAAATCTGGGGCCGTAATAGGTACTACTACTCGGGATCAGGGTAGACCTGCGAACACTAGCAATTAAGAGATGAACACTCTCCTCAAAACCTCCTGATCAAAGGCCTTGATGCCGGATGTAGTTTATCGTCTTACGCAGAACGGCGATGTAGTTTATCGTCTTACCCAGGACGCAGGAAAGAAAAGAAGAAAGAAAGAAAGAAAGAAAAGAAAGAAAGAAAGAAAGAAAGAAAGAAAGAAAGAGAGAACAAGTAAGCAAGAAAGAAAGAAGTAACGAAGGAAAGAAAGCAAGCAAGAAATAAAGGACGAAACGAAAAGGAAAGCGTTTAGGAATAAAGAAGTGAAATTATTTAATTAAACAAAGCCTAAATAAAATAAAGGAAATATTGAACGAATGAAAAATATTAAAGGAATTAATGAATGACATAAAGAAAAAAAATAGGAAAATTAATGAAGTTACAGTGAAAAAAATTAATTAAATGAGAGAATGAATGAAAATCTGAATTGAAAAAAATAAGAGAATGAGAGAAATGAATATAAAAGAAAGGATAAGAAGAAAGAAAAAAAGAAAAAAGAGAAAGAAAGAAAACTAAAACAAAGAAAAAGAAGAATCATTAAAAAGATAATGTTAAACTAGAAAAATAAAATAAAAAAAGAAAAAGAATTGAAAAAAAAAAACGAATGAAAAAAAGGAAGAAACAAAAGAAAGAAAGAAGTGAAAAATGAATAAAGACAAGTAGGTGGCTGAACATTAGACGAAAGAGAGCGAAACTTTCCGTAGAAGATGTCAGATAAAGACAATGAACTTGGCTAAAATGGAGGCAACTAGAAATTAAATTATGATTACAAGAACAAGTAGATATAAAGCAGAGGGAAAGGTTAATGGGTTGGTAAAGTTAGTAGGTAAGAATAACGGACTTAACGAATCGACCGCGACGTCTGAGGTCCCTAAGTGGGCATTTTTATTGGGCCTATCTTTATCCCCGTGTAAGATGAGACAGTAACAAAATTTAAACAAGTTTGGTGGCTTATCGCAAACGTTTCCAAAGATAACAGACAAGTAGTTCCTGTTTTTGTAATTACTAATTAACTTTACTATCATAGCTACTATTGAGATATTCTTTTTCCCCTTCTATATGTCGGGCCCCTTAAGGACATAGGCGATCATGGCTCTCCATAATTTCCTACCCGCTGCAGCTCTTAAGCATTCCTCTCCTTAATGTCCCCCCTGTGGAGAAGGGTGGAGTAATGGATAGCGGCTCTGACTGAGATATCCAGTTGAGTTCATTGCATTCACTTACGTCCTTGGGAAAGACATAAATCCATCTCTCCCTGCCCCGCTACACACTCACCAACTATGGGTAAATAGCAGGATAGACTGGGTTTCCTTGTATGGGAACCGGTCTAGGTGAAGTAAAAACTCTGAATTTAAAACCAGCCTGGATAGAGCTGGGCTCCGTCAGGATATCTTGTTCAGGTAACTCCACTTCTACTGCAGCCACAATAAGCATGGTGCCCCTACAACCATAATGGGTTGAGGGCCTCCTCGGTGTCCTTCCAGGTCTTTGTTCTGTCATCCATTTACAGATACTCATTAGGTAGGTCACAATCTGTTTACATCTGTCCCAGTTGTCTTTAATATGTCCTATTTTTTCTAATTGGAAAAAGAAAACAAACTTTTTTCCCATCTTAAGCGCAAGGGTCATTTTCGTTCAACTTCTGTAGAAATATAAACATCTCTTTTGTCTCAAGACCCCGCTTCATTTGTGAGAAGGTTGTTCACCATTTATTGTCATAAAAGAGGATAGATAAATAGCAATATAGCCCGTTTTGCTTCTGTTTTTCTAACGAAATTTCCCTACATTTTCGTATATGCTTAACTCAATGGGACAGAAATGGTCCAGCGTTCCTCGTAGGTGCGGCGGAAGAGGATAGCAGGTGAGGCGGAAGAGGATAGCAAGTTAGACGGAAGCGGATAGCAGGTAAGGCTGAAGAGGATAGCAGTTGAGGTGGAAAAGGATAGCTGATGAGGCGGAAGAGGATAGCTGGTGAGGCGGAAGAGGATAGCTGGTGAGGCGGAAGAGGATAGCTGGTGAGGCGGAAGAGGATAGCTGATGAGGCGGAAGAGGATAGCTGGTGAGGCGGAAGAGGATAGCTGGTGAGGCGGAAGAGGATAGCTGGTGAGGCGGAAGAGGATAGCAGATGAGACTGAAGCTGATAGCAGGTGAGGCGGAAGAGGATAGCTGGGGAGTCGGAAGAGTATAGCAGATGAGGCGGAAGAGGATAGCTGCTGAGTCGGAAGAGGATAGCAGATGAGGCGGAAGAGGATAGCTGGTGAGGCGGAAGAGGATAGCCGTTGAGGTGGAAGAGGATAGCTGGTGAGGCTGAAGAGGATAGCAGGTAAGGCGGAAGCGGATAGCTGGTGAGGCGGAAGAGGATACCAGGTGAGGCGGAAGAGGATAGCTGGTGAGGTGGAAGAGGATAGCTGGTGAGGCGGAAGAGGATAGCCGTTGAGGTGGAAGAGGATAGCTGGTGAGGCTGAAGAGGATAGCAGGTAAGGCGGAAGCGGATAGCTGGTGAGGCGGAAGAGGATACCAGGTGAGGCGGAAGAGGATAGCTGGAGGTGGAAGAGCTGGTGAGGCGGAAGAGGATAGCCGTTGAGGTGGAAGAGGATAGCTGGTGAGGCTGAAGAGGATAGCAGGTAAGGCGGAAGCGGATAGCTGGTGAGGCGGAAGAGGATACCAGGTGAGGCGGAAGAGGATAGCAGGAGGCAGAGGGATAGAAGGTGGAAGAGGATAGCAGATGAGGCGGAAGAGGAGAGCAGGTGAGACGGAAGAGGATAGCAGGAGGCGGAAGAAGATAGCAGAGGCGGAAGAGAATAGCAGGTATGGCGGAAGGGATAGCAGGATGCGGAAGAGGATAGCAGGTGAGGCGGAAGAGGATAGCAGATGAGGTGGAAGAGGATAGCAGGTAAAGCTGAAAAGGATAGCAGGTGAGGTGGAAGAGAATAGCTGGTGAGGTGGAAGATAGCAGATGAGGCGGAAGAGGATAGCTGGTGAGGCGGAAGAGGATAGCCGTTGAGGTGGAAGAGGATAGCTGGTGAGGCTGAAGAGGATAGCAGGTAAGGCGGAAGCGGATAGCTGGTGAGGCGGAAGAGGATAGCTGGTGAGGCGGAAGAGGATAGCTGGTGAGGCGGAAGAGGATAGCAGATGAGACTGAAGCTGATAGCAGGTGAGGCGGAAGAGGATAGCTGGGGAGTCGGAAGAGTATAGCAGATGAGGCGGAAGAGGGATAGCTGCTGAGTCGGAAGAGGATAGCAGATGAGGCGGAAGAGGATAGCTGGTGAGGCGGAAGAGGATAGCCGTTGAGGTGGAAGAGGATAGCAGTGAGGCTGAAGGGATAGCAGGTAAGGCGGAAGGGATAGCTGGTGAGGCGGAAGAGGATACCAGGTGAGGCGGAAGAGGATAGCTGGTGAGGTGGAAGAGGATAGGAAGAGGATAAGAGGATAGCCGTTGAGGTGGAAGAGGATAGCTGGTGAGGCTGAAGGGATAGCAGGTAAGGCGGAAGAGGATAGCTGGTGAGGCGGAAGAGGATACCAGGTGAGGCGGAAGAGGATAGCTGGTGAGGTGGAAGAGGATAGCTGGTGAGGCGGAAGAGGATAGCCGTTGAGGTGGAAGAGGATAGCTGGTGAGGCTGAAGAGGATAGCAGGTAAGGCGGAAGGGATAGCTGGTGAGGCGGAAGAGGATACCAGGTGAGGCGGAAGAGGATAGCAGGAGGCGGAAGGGATAGAAGAAGGTGGAAGAGGATAGCAGATGAGGCGGAAGAGGAGAGCAGGTGAGACGGAAGAGGATAGCAGGAGGCGGAAGAAGATAGATGAGGCGGAAGAGAATAGCAGGTATGGCGGAAGAGGATAGCAGGATGCAAGAAGAGGATAGCAGGTGAGGCGGAAGAGGATAGCAGATGAGGTGGAAGAGGATAGCAGGTAAAGCTGAAAAGGATAGCAGGTGAGGTGGAAGAGAATAGCTGGTGAGGTGGAAGAGGATAGCAGATGAGGCGGAAGAGGATAGCTGGTGAGGCGGAAGAGGATAGCCGTTGAGGTGGAAGAGGATAGCTGGTGAGGCTGAAGAGGATAGCAGGTAAGGCGGAAGCGGATAGCTGGTGAGGCGGAAGAGGATACCAGGTGAGGCGGAAGAGGATAGCAGGAGGCGGAAGAGGATAGCAGAAGGTGGAAGAGGATAGCAGATGAGGCGGAAGAGGAGAGCAGGTGAGACGGAAGAGGATAGCAGGAGGCGGAAGAAGATAGCATGAGGCGGAAGAGAATAGCAGGTATGGCGGAAGAGGATAGCAGGATGCGGAAGAGGATAGCAGGTGAGGCGGAAGAGCATGGCAGGAGGCCTAAGAGGATAGCTGGTGAGGTGGAAGAGGATAGCAGATGAGGTGGAAGAGGATAGCAGATGAGGTGGAAGAGGATAGCAGGTAAAGCTGAAAAGGATAGCAGGTGAGGTGGAAGAGAATAGCTGGTGAGGTGGAAGAGGATAGCTGGTGAGACGGAAGAGGATAGCTGGTGAGACGGAAGCGGATAGCAGATAAGGATGAAGAGGATAGCAGGTGATGCGGAAGAGGATAGCAGGAGGCGGAAGAGGATAGCAGAAGGCGGAAGAGGATAGCAGATGAGGCGGAAGAGGAGAGCAGGTGAGGCGGAAGAGGATAGCAGGAGGCGGAAGAAGATAGCATGAGGCGGAAGAGGATGGCATGAGGCGGAAGAGAATAGCAGGTATGGCGGAAGAGGATAGCAGGATGCGGAAGAGGATAGCAGGTGAGGCGGAAGCGGATAGCTGGTGAGGCGGAAGAGGATACCAGGTGAGGCGGAAGAGGATAGCAGGAGGCGGAAGAGGATAGCAGAAGGTGGAAGAGGATAGCAGATGAGGCGGGAAGAGGAGAGCAGGTGAGACGGAAGAGGATAGCAGGAGGCGGAAGAAGATAGCATGAGGCGGAAGAGAATAGCAGGTATGGCGGAAGAGGATAGCAGGATGCGGAAGAGGATAGCAGGTGAGGCGGAAGAGCATGGCAGGAGGCCTAAGAGGATAGCTGGTGAGGTGGAAGAGGATAGCTGGTGAGGCGGAAGAGGATAGCAGGTGAGGCGGAAGAGGATAGCTGATGAGGCGGAAGAGGATAGCTGGTGAGGCGGAAGAGGATAGCTGGTGAGGCGGAAGAGGATAGCTGGTGAGGCGGAAGAGGATAGCTGGTGAGGCGGAAGAGGATAGCTGATGAGGCGGAAGAGGATAGCTGATGAGGCGGAAGAGGATAGCTGGTGAGGTGGAAGAGGATAGCTGATGAGGCGGAAGAGGATAGCTGGTGAGGCGGAAGAGGATAGCAGATGAGACTGAAGCTGATAGCAGGTGAGGCGGAAGAGGATAGCTGATGAGGCGGAAGAGGATAGCTGGTGAGGCGGAAGAGGATAGCTGATGAGGCGGAAGAGGATAGCTGATGAGGCGGAAGAGGATAGCTGGTGAGGCGGAAGAGGATAGCTGATGAGGCGGAAGAGGATAGCTGATGAGGCGGAAGAGGATAGCTGATGAGGCGGAAGAGCATGGCAGGAGGCCTAAGAGGATAGCTGGTGAGGTGGAAGAGGATAGCAGATGAGGTGGAAGAGGATAGCAGATGAGGTGGAAGAGGATAGCAGGTAAAGCTGAAAAGGATAGCAGGTGAGGTGGAAGAGAATAGCTGGTGAGGTGGAAGAGGATAGCTGGTGAGACGGAAGCGGATAGCAGATAAGGATGAAGAGGATAGCAGGTGATGATGAAGAGGATAGCAGGAGATGCGGAAGAGGATAGCAGAAGGGCAAGAGGATAGCAGATGAGGCGGAAGAGGAGAGCAGGTGAGGCGGAAGAGGATAGCAGGAGGCGGAAGAAGATAGCATGAGGCGGAAGGGATGGCATGAGGCGGAAGAGAATAGCAGGTATGGCGGAAGAGGATAGCAGGATGCGGAAGAGGATAGCAGGATGAGGGGAAGAGCATGGCAGGAGGCCTAAGAGGATAGCTGGTGAGGTGGAAGAGGATAGCTGGTGAGGCGGAAGAGGATAGCAGGTGAGGCGGAAGAGGATAGCAGATGAGGTGGAAGAGGATAGCAGGTAAAGCTGAAAAGGATAGCAGGTGAGGTGGAAGAGAATAGCTGGTGAGACGGAAGCGGATAGCAGATAAGGATGAAGAGGATAGCAGGTGATGCGGAAGAGGATAGCAGGTGAGGCGCAAGAGGATAGCTGGTGAGGCGGAAGAGGATAGCAGATGAGGTGGAAGAGGATAGCAGATAAAGCTGAAAAGGATAGCAGGTGAGGTGGAAGAGAATAGCTGGTGAGGTGGAAGAGGATAGCTGGTGAGACGGAAGAGGATAGCTGGTGAGACGGAAGCGGATAGCAGATAAGGATGAAGAGGATAGCAGGTGATGCGGAAGAGGATAGCAGGTGAGGCGCAAGAGGATAGCTGGTGAGGCGGAAGAGGATAGCAGATGAGGTGGAAGAGGATAGCAGGTAAAGCTGAAAAGGATAGCAGGTGAGGTGGAAGAGAATAGCTGGTGAGACGGAAGCGGATAGCAGATAAGGATGAAGATGATAGCAGGTGATGCGGAAGAGGATAGCAGGTGAGGCGCAAGAGGATAGCTGGTGAGGCGGAAGAGGATAGCAGGTGAGGTGGAAGAGGATAGCAGGTAAAGCTGAAAAGGATAGCAGGTGAGGTGGAAGAGAATAGCTGGTGAGGCGGAAGAGGATAGCTGGTGAGACGGAAGCGGTTAGCAGATAAGGTTGAAGAGGATAGCAGGTGAGGCCTAAGAGGATAGCAGGTTAGGCGCAAGAGGATAGTAGTTAAGGCTGAAAAGAATAGCAGTTGAGGCGTAAGAGGATAGTAATTGAGGCGGAATGCTTGAAAGACAATCAAAGATTTAGAAACAGTTTTAAAAAATTCATATGCCAAATATACATATGGTTTCAAAATTTAAGATATTATTATGCATTACTTGTTATTTCATGCATGAGTCCCAGTCTATAAAGAATTATGCATGAGTCCCAGTTATAAAGAATTATGCATGAGTCCCAGTTATAAAGAATTATGGACCGATTTTATCATTGTTATATTTTTGCATAATATCAAATATTAAGAATATAGTAACGAGGTTCCTCAAATTGAAAGAAAGAGTTATCAACAATAATGTTCTAACTTCCATCTGCGGTTATCTCCCTTTAAACATCTCTCGGGACTTTCTTTGTAGTAGAGTTGCTTGTGCCTTTTCACCGGGACTTCTCTTTGCGCGAGCAAATTTTCATTCTGAAAATGCGGCCCAAATAACAAAATAAGAATCTTTCCCCTCAATAATATTTGAAAAGTTTTCGGATTAAAAATCCGAAACGTTTAAGCCAGTGATTCCCAAACGATGGGGCGCATCTCATAGGTTTGCCGGAAGAAGATAACTAGTGAGGCTGAATGATTGAGAGACAATTAAAAAATTTAGAAACAGATTCAAAAAATTCATACGTTAAAAATAAGTATGATTTCAAAAATATTATATTATCACATTATTAAATATTGAAATTTCATGCATGAGTCTCAGTACATATAGTTATAAATAATTGAGGACCGATTTTATCATCGTGATCTTTTTGCATTATATCAAGTATTAAGAATATAGTAACTAGGGTCTGTAATTTGGATAAGAGAGTTATCAATGATAATGTTCTGATTTCGAATTCACGGTTATCTCCCTTTAACCCTCTGTTTCTTTTTTTTTTATTTTCAAATGTATTTTTTATCACATAAATTTTGATGAAGCGCAGCTAAATTTTCATTCCGAAAATGCGGGCCAGAGAAAAAAAAAATTGGGAACTACTGCTTTGGAACGCATCTTTAGTTGTTTCAATGCATCTTCGGATTTCGGTGTCACTTGTTCCCTCATAAATTCAAACACTTCCCTGATAGTTACATTTATTGACTTGCTTGCTGTTAACATCTCTAACTTGTAACCAGTATGTAGGTTTATTCCTATTGTTGGTAAACATGTATTCTATCTTCTTACAATTGATTGTTAGTCCTTTCTTCCTGCTTTTCTTTCTTAACTTTTCGAAGAGATCCCACAGTTTTCGTTCTGCATCCGCTATCAACACGGAGTCAACAGCATATTCTTTGTTATTAAAAATATATCTACGACTAATCAAACCACGTGGGAGTTCTAGCAATCTTAGGATTTCTTCGATGTATAAGATAAATAAATAAATTATTGGAATACTAGCCCCGAGCTGGAATTAAAAATTATGCGTTGATTTTTAAATCAAACTCTGGCTGATATTTGTAAAATTATTTGTTAATTGATATGTCAAGCATACGATGGCTGCATCAATTACTTATTTATGTTCTGAAAATTGGATGCGAAATTGGAAATTTTCGAAGTGGAATGTGTAGCGTATAGAAGGGGTATTATTATTAATAATACTAACACGGTGGAGTTATGAATAGCGGCTCGGATTGAGGAATAGGAGAGCCCAGTTCGAATTCAAGTCGAATATATTATATTCACTTACGTGCTAATAACCTTGGGAAACGTATGAATCCTCTTCTTCCGCACCAGCTCTGAGTAAATAGCAGGAAAGACCGGGTTCTATAATAGCATGAGATGGCAACTGGTCTACCGCAGAAAGAAATGGCAACCTACTGCCGGAAAATATCTGCCTCGTCAGTCATGTATCGAAAGATACATGATCGCCTAAGCGTGTATCACGCATGACACATAACTGAATCGGAGAGCTGAGCTCGAATTCAAATCGAATCCATTACATTCACTTACGTGCTTATACCCTTGGGAAACGTATGAATCCTCTTCTTCTCCCCCAGCTGTGGGTAAATAGCAGGAAAGACCGGGTTCTATAGCCTTGGATGGCAAATGGTCTACCGCAGAAAGAAATGGCAACCAACTGCAGGAAAAGATATGCCTCATCAGTCATGTATCTTTCGATACATGATCGCCTAAGCGTGTATCACGCATGGCACATAACTGAATCGGAGAGCCGAGTTCGAATTCGAGTCAAATCCATTGCATTCACTTAGGTGCTAATACCCTTGTGTATGAAGAAAGAAATGGCAACCTACTGCGGGTAAAAAATCTGCCTCGTCAGTCGTGTATCGAAAGATAAATGATCGTCTAAGCGTATATCACGCATGGCACATAACTGACTGACTGACTGACTGACTACTAACACTATGTCTTAATACTGTACCCCTTCAGGCTCACGGCCGCATTACTTACAAATACAGGTTCCCGTACAATCATCGAAGTTAAGTAACGTCGAGCTTGGTCAGTACCTAGATCGGTGACCGCTAGGTAATACCAGGTGCTAAAAGCTTATATGTGCGGGTGGTGTAATGGATAACAGCTTGGAATTGTTAATCGGAGAGCCGAGTTCCCACCCACGCCGGGTTCGTTATAGTCGCCAACGGGCAAATATCACTGGCTAAAATATGATTAAGCATCTTATCCTCTAGGCTATGGATTAATTATCTAAAAAGGAAAAAAAAAATCTTAAAATCTAAAAACATTTTCAGGCTTTAAATGACCTGCAACGGGTTGATAAGCCATAAAAAACGAATTATTATCCCTTCAGGAAGTAGTTGATAATGTCTCTCTTTAGATATATTTGTGAATTGCCATGGATTCTTAGCGAAACTAGTGGAATGGTTTTCTGATTGCCATTTCCACGCATTCTTTCGCAGTCGAGATTAAACAAGGATTAAGTGGCCAGTCTATCCTGATATTTAACAGAGTTGTTCCGGGGATGATAGAACATCACTTTGAACGACTGGTTAAGTTTTGGTGAAGATGCCGTGACTAATCAATTTTTTAAATCAAAATTTCTATTCTATTTATACTAAAAGACTAATTTCTAACAGTAAACTTGTTTCGTACCAACAGTAGCGGGATTTTAAAAACTGACGTACGCATCCCCACCAAAATAATAGGGAAAAACACAAGCTTTCCATTTTGAAAAATTCGAATGAAAAATGATAGCGAAACGAATTCATTTTGTATATTTCTATTACAGTGTAACCCGGATATAAGAGACCCGGATATAACAGAAACCCGGATATAAGAGAGATTTTCTCTGGTCCCAAATTAGAGCCTGTGTTAATGTATATAAATACAGTGTAACCCGGATATAAGAGAGTTGTCGGGACTGGAGAAGAAGTCTCTTATATCCGGGTTTCTCTTGTATCCGGATTTGGTCTATTTATATACATTAACACAGGCTCTAATTTGGGACCAGATAAAATCTCTCTTATATCCGGGTATATTAGGGTCTAATTGTAAGAACTAATTTCGTTTCAATAAAAAAAAAGTATTTATATTTTTTTCCGGTTATTTTTGGTTAAAAAAGAACGAGTATCAAATAGCATCCATGTGTTATGTTTTCTGCCTATCAGTTGAAGTGAAAATATAAGGAAGTCATAAACACAGAACGTGAGCCGGATAATTGTAAATGAATTTTATTTTTTTATAAAGACATAAAAAAAACCTTCTTGATTTCTGTGATTTTCCAAACGTAGCTTAGATTTGCAACAAGACCGAAAGTATGGGGCACCCAGTGAGAATTCAACTCACTACTCAGTCATAATTGTTCTAGCGAGAAAACTTGTTAACCATTACACCACTTCCAGGTGCCCATAATGTTTTTCTCAGCGTAGCTTAGATGTATCATAAGGCCGACAGATTGTAGTCCCCAGGGAGTATCGAACACTCCTCTGTCTTCATTGGTTTAGCGAAACAAGCTGGCTAATAATTACATCACGACGAAGTTCAGTAATTTTCTAAGGGCAGATAAGATGTGGCACAAGGGCAGTGGTGATCGAGTAATTTATATGGCGAGACAATCTTGCTAACGATTACACCATGTCGAAATACCCCCCTCCAAAAATTTTGATTGGGAATAGATAGAATGCGCTAATATTGTTTGTATAGAAAATTAATGCTTTTTTATCGATTTCAGCCCACGCAAGGCAATAAAGCAACTAAGATAGAAGGGGGTTACTGGGTGTGAAAGAATTAGAAACAGAAACATTACTTATAAGCGGGCGTAAAAAAGAGTAATCAGGAGTATAGTTTGTGATTAACATTGCATTTAAATTTTTAATGATTAAAGTTTGCTGGGTAGCATGGAACAGGAAGGGAGTACCACAAGCAAGAAGTGTGAGAAAATAAACTGTCAGCATAGAATTTAAGGTTAGGTCTAGCTAGCTTTACTGTAAGTTGATACCATCTAGAAGACAATCTAAAGCCGCGCTTAAATTCATAATGTCTAGGTACCATAGCGAAGAGTGATATTTATTCTGCAGTATTTACAGAAAATGTGGCACAAGGCCAAAATGGGGAATGAGGAAAAAGGACTACCTTCTACTGTTTTAACATAAACTTAGCTAACTAGCCACGATCACTGACCCAAATATACCACAATATCCCTTACAACAAAACAACGCATTCTTGCAACATCTACCGTAATACCTCATGGTCTCTATGAAAATCCTAACTAGTCACTATATGTACAATTCATGTATATGAGAGGAAAGCAATAAAATAACAATTTTAAAAATCTAAACCCCAATAGCGAAGAACTGATCCCAACAATTACCATGAAAGTATTTATAGAAAATGCAAAGGGAGACAACCTTACCGCGGTAGGAAAAGTGAGTGAAGCCGAGGCGCCAGATCAGGACCGATAATATTACTGATACCTCTTTGGATTTTATCAAGGAGTTCAAGGTAAATAATAGGAGCACCGGATGTGTGGCAGCAATATTCTAAGAATGGAGGAATAGTACACTTATATGTAAGGTAGACTCAGGACAGAAAAACTTAGCACGACACAGTGAACCAACTTTCTTATGAGCTGACTTAGCAATGGATTTAATGTCAACCGAGCACGTTAGCACAAATTGCAAACAATCATGATAAAAAATAAAATAAAAACGAAAATGATAAAAGGCTGAATGAGGTCGACTAGCTTAGGAAACTAGATAGACCGATTTGAATTATTTTTTTAAAATTTAGAGTTTCATTTTACAAACACAGCCAGCACATTTTGACCGTATTCGTAGTTGATATTATTGAATGTTGTCTTTTTGAAATAATAATATGCTTTCATTGTTTAGTTTTTTTTTACATGTGGATTAGTATATTGTGAGTAGGTTTTAGTAGGCCTTCATGTGTATTTAAATGCGACCTAATTGAGCTATGGTCAGAGAGATGCAACGTGATACTTCTTGTTAGGCTTGTTGTAGTATATCCAATATAATTATCTGTGAATGGATCATGAACATAGTTCCTTAAGGGAAATGTGAATTCGTAAATTTTTCATCCGCATGTAAGAAAAGGCTACATTTTTTTTTTTAATATTTTAGTTTGGCATCATTTTATGTATTATATATTCTAAATAAGAAAGCAAGAAAGAAAGACACAAACATAGAAACAATCAAAGAAAGAAAGAAAAAAGAAAGAAGGAAAGAGAGGACCAGACAAGCAAACAAAAAAAGAAAAGGAACAATAAATTATTTAAACACAACGACATTAGAGAAGTAAAATTTGGAATTTAAAAATATGAGGATATAAAAATGAAATAGCATAAAATAGATGCAAGGAAACAAAGAAAAGAAGGAATGATATATATTCTGTAATAAACAAGAAATGGAATAAAGACTTGGATAAATACTCTGAAGGAAAGTTCGAATGACAAAAAAGGAAAAAGAATAAAAAAATATAGAAGAAAAATGAATGAAAAAAACAAACAAAGGAAAGCTATAGCTATAATTAAAATTAAAAAAAAATATTTTAAAATTCGTTTAAAAAGAAACATTACTTGCATAGAAAAATGAAAAAGGAGAAGAGGCAGAATAAAATTGTAACAATATATACCTCATTAATAAAAATATAAAAAAATGAGTGTGAAGAAAGAAAGAAAAAATAAATAAGGCAAGAAAGAAAGAAAAAATAAAATAGACAAGAAAACAAGCAAGAAATACAAAAGGAAAGAAAGAAAGAAAGAAAGCAAGTAAAAAAGAAAGAAAAAAAAAGCACATAAGAAAAATGCATGTAATTTTCTTATATGCATTCTTTTTCTTTATTTCTTGACTTATTTATTTATTTATTTTTCTTTCTTTCTTCACATATATCATCAGACGGAAGGAAAAATAGGAAAGACAGATAAAAAAAAGAAAGATGCTAGCAACAAAGAACGAAAGAAAATATAAGAAACGAAAGAAAACAGAAAAGAAAGAAGTCAAGAGAAAGAGAGATTGATAAAGAAAGCATGAAAGGAAGAAAAAAAAGATAGCATGAAAGATACAAAACCCCAAAATGAAAGAAAGCAAGAAATAGGGAAAGAAAGAAAAATAGAAGCATGAAAGAAAATCAGATATCCAGATAGAAAGAAAGAAAGAAAGAAAGAAAAAAAGAAAGAAAGAAAGAAAGAAGAAAGGAAGACAGAAAAATAAATAAATAAACACGAAAGAGAGAAAGAAAGAAAGAAAGAAAGAAAGAAAGAAAGAAAGAAAAAAGAAAGAAAGAAAGAAGAAAGGAAGACAGAAAAATAAATAAACACGAAAGAGAGAAACAAAGAAAGAAAGAAAGAAAGGAGAAAGAAAGGAAGAAAAAAGAAAGATAAAAGAAAGAAAGAAAGAAAGAAAGAGAGGAGAAAGAAAGAAATAAGAAATAAATAAAAAAGAAAGAATGAAAAAGAAAGAAGGAAGGAAAAAGAAAGAAAAGAGAAAGAAAGAAAAAAAAGAAAGAAGAAAGAAATGAAGAAAGAAAATGAAAGAAGAAAGAAAAAGAAAGAAAGAATTATAGAAAGAATGAAAAAGAAAAAGAAAGAAGAAATAAAGAAAGAAAAAAGAAAGAAAGATGAATAAATAAATAAAAAAATAACGAAAAAAGAAAGAAGGAAAAAGAAAGAAAGAAAAAAAAGAAAGAAAGACGAGAAAAAGAGAAATGTGAAAATCCAATGAAGAACTTTGTAGCGAGAATTAAATGTTAACAAGACTTAAACACTTAAGCGTAGAAAGAAAGAACAAGAAGGAAAAAAATGTTTTCCAAAAAATTAATACCACGAGTGTAATCTAGAAATAAATAAAGAAATACAGAAAGGAAGAAAGACAGAAAGAAACGATAACTGATAGAATAAATGAGTGATTAAAATAAAGAAGAGTAGAAAAGGGAGAGAAATGTGTTCAGAATAAATAACAGGAAGGAAAATCGTAAATTGTATGTATCAAATTCACAAATCATGGAAAGGAATCAAGAATTGCTTCAACCGAAAACAAATTAAATAGACATTGTTACAGACGCACACTTGACTCAGAACATATTTCAAGCAAACTAAACCGTTGCTCTTAAAGATTGATCTATATAATAGACAAGTACACACAAAAAGAAGGAAAAAGCATTAATATTTGAATGCGTCAACAATTACACTGTCTTTAGTATTGTTTAGCGGATTGGACACACGCGTGACGTTAAGCACTTCAAGTCTAATAAGATTATTCAACAACTAGCCGCAGGTGATTAGGATCTTTTCTGTTCTTTTTTTAACTACAGAAGTAAAAAAAAAAAAAAAAAAAAAGAAGAAGAAAAAATACAGAAAAAGAAAGAAAATAACAAAATGGCGAATCAGACGAGCAAATAAAGGCTTTTTACGTGGTTTCTGTAAATGACTGCTATCACGTATTTTATTTATATTTTTTATGAATCTTGTTTGGTGAGAGGCGGGTAAGTGAATATTTTACGGGGAAGAGAAAGAGATGAATGCGTGGATATAAAGAAAAAAGAGGACAGTAAAAAAAAAAAAAAAGAAGAGGATTATATTTTCGCAAAGAAGCGAGAAGAAAACGATAAAAAAGAAATGAGAAATACGAGGACAAAGCTGATGAAGTTGACGAGAAAAGGAAAGAGAGGGAGATGACAAAAGAAATCAAGAAGGAAAGCAACGAAAAACAAAGATAAAAATGAGAAAAGCGAAAAAACAAAATGGCGATAACGAAATAAAAATAGGTTCTGAGAATGAAAAGAAAAATGAATGAAGATAAGAAAGAAAAACAAAGAGGTAAAAACGAAAAGGTACAATATTATTTGTACGTACTTTTATATACCTTAAACAGCGCCACCTAGCAGTTGTTTTGCTAGATAAGAAGCGAGTAACCCCTACATAGTAAATGTCGGCGCTGTCCAAAAATCTTTGATTGAGAGTTTTCAGTTATTGGTTTAACTATTATCAAAATGCAAAACCTTCATATGTAACAATAAAATATGTGAATAAAGGTGCGCGTTGTTTTATGAAACTAATATTTGAAAACTGGAATTATGGCTTTTATAAAAACATATTTTGGCAAAGATATCAAGCAATGATTGTACTGTAAAGGAATGTCTTTAAAATGTAACAGCAAAAAGATCTTGAAGCTGGGTTGAGAAATTCTTCTACAGTCGGCTTAATCTCCAGTTTTGTATTTTTCAAACTCCTATTTATGACACTCCTTTCAAAAATCCTTGTGCGATAAGTTTCAAATTTTTTCCACTATTATTAATAACTGACTTCATTACAAAAATGCGATGAAGTAAAATAAAAAAAAACAAGAGATTAGTGGGGGTGGGATTATGGCGGGTAAGATAAGGACAGAAGTTTAAAAAGAAAGTTTTTGCAAAGTATCAAGAAGAAACGTATAAGAAAGAAAACTATAACGATAAAAATGTGAACACGAAGGCAAATGTGCATCAAGGGCCGTCAGCGACCAATGCAATTTTGGTGCTCCCATCTGATTTGCCCCTCAAGTGTTTTTACTATATGTGGCCGAGTGGTTAGAATGTTTGATTTCTGACAATGAGACTCGAGTTCAAATCTCACCATGGTCGATTTTTCAGAAAGGTTATCGGTGTTATTGGTTTGGGAAGTGAAATCTTTAAGGGTTAATTGTGTAAATGGAGGCTTTCAATGGTTCGTGACTAAGGGTCAGAGAGTGTTAAATACTCACTCTCCCAGACACTGTAACTGCATAATTGCAGTATCTGTGGGTATTAAACAAACACAAATAGGCCTGAACAGGGATTAGCTAGCTTCCAACCATCCATCCATCTAACCATACATCCAACCATCCATCAATTAATCCATGAAACAATGCATCTATATATTCCCTATTCATTCCTTCTATCCAGTTATCTATCCATCCATTCAATTCTTCCACACCAATCCAGCCAGTCATCCACCCATCCATCATCCATCCATCCTTCCACCAATCCATTGATCCATTCCATCCATCCACCAATCCAGCCATCCATCCACAGATCCATCAACCCATCCACCCATCCATCCACCCATATATCCATCCATCCATCCATTCCATCAAACCATCCATCAACATATTCATCCATCCATCCATTTCAACCATTCATCCATGCATCCATCCCATCCATCCATCCATCCATCCATCAACACATCTATCCATCCACAGATCCATCAACCCATCCATCAACCCATCCATCCACCCATATATCCACTATTTCCATCCATCCATCAATCCATCAAACCATCCATCAACATATTCATCCATCCACTCATCCTTTCACCCATTCATCCATGCATCCATCAATCCATCAAACCATCCATCAACATATTCATCCATCCACTCATCCTTTCACCCATTCATCCATGCATCCATCAATCCATCAAACCATCCATACATCCATCAACCATCCATCCCATCCATCCATCCATATCCATCCATCCATCCATATCCATCCATCCATCCATATCCAACCATCCATCCATCCATCAATCCATCAATCATCCATCCATCATCCATCCATCCAATCCTTTCACGTATCCATCCATCCATCCATCCAACACATCCATCCTTTCACCCATCCACCCCATCCCACCCATCCATCCATCCACCTATTATCCAGCCATCCAGACGCGTATCCATCCACCCATCCATCAAGTTAGGTTCGCCAGATCAATTGCGACTGAGTAGTGAGTTAGATCCTCACTGGGTGCTCATCACTTTTGGCCTTGTGCCACATCTAAGTTATGCATAGGAGATCACTTAGTAGGAGTTAAATTTCGCCAATGAATGTATGAAACTTACTAATTATTAATTCCAGATTGTTCCCTGAAACATTCGGTCCATAATGTACATCATTTTCAAATCATTTTGAAATTCATGTCACCCAGTTTAGTTATTTTTCTCTGTAACCTCCAGAGAAACTTAGTGCTATATTTTGAGTCCAGATATCTGGAAATCACTTGAAAAGATATTCAGTTGTAGAAAATGATTTATGGAAAAGGAAGAAAAAACACACTATCTTCTAGATCTACTTATATTTACATCTCTCCTCAAATCTAGTATTCATGGCCACATTAAGGCAAGTATTTACTCCCCGTACTTCTACACACGGATGGGGGTATCTTTACTCACCCACACTTTGTTACGCATCTAAAGAAGAAGAGATAGTGGAAGCGGAAATAAGGAGACTGAGATAAAGTGAGCGGATTCGACGTTGCTTAACTTAATGGAATTTAATGAATGACGGTAAGGAAAGAGAAGTGGCATCAGGGAAAAGAAAGAATAAACGCAAATGAATAAAATAAAAATTCAAAATCCGAAGTTCCGAAATCCTAAATTCCCAAAATGTGAAAACCTCCAACATCCGAAACCTACGAAATCCTAAATTCCTAAATTCCCAAATCCGAAAATATCCAAAATCCCAAATTCCAAAATCCGAAACCTCCATAATCCGGAATTCCAAAATCCCAAAACCTCCAAAATCCCAAAACCTCCCGTATTCGAGAACCTAAAAAATCCCAAATCCGAAAACCTCTAAAAGCCTAAATTCCCAAATTCGAAAACCTCCAAAATCCGAAAACATCAAACATCCGAAGACCTAGGAAATCCTAAATTTCAAAATATCTCCAAATTACTAAATTCCCAAATCGTAAAACGTCCACAATCAGAAATTCCAAAATCCGAAACCTCCATAATCCGAAATTCCCAAATCCCCAAAACCTCCAAAATCCCCAAACATCCAACATTCGAAAACCTAAGAAATCTTAAAAACGCAAATCCGAAAACCTCTAAAATCCTAAATTCCCAAATCCGAAAATCTCCAAAATCCGAAAACCGCTAACATCCGAAAACCTAGGAAATCCTAAATTCCAAAATCCGAAAACCTCCAAAATCCGAAATTCCAAAATCCGAAAACCTCCAAAATCCGAAATTCCAAAATAGGAAAATTGTTCAGATCCTGACATAACTTGCCACAAATGGAAAATTCCAGAAAGATGTCGGAAGGTTCCTAGGTGATGTGCAGCGTAGAGTAACTTTAATGATTCTCAGGACACTTTCTCTCTAGACTTAACGATTGCCTATCACATCTGATAGGTGCGCAGATTTGTTTTTTTTTTATGATTTGGTTTTGAATTCCATAAGAAAATATCACTGATAATCTAGTCCTTACTTCTCCAAGATTGTCCCGCAAGAATGACTACAAATACTTGGCTGGGTCAATCAAGCGGTACCAAAAGTGGAAATAGAAGTTGTTAGTACCACAGACCTACAAATTTTTAAAAATAGTGCATATGAGATTTAGGTCAAATTTAAACAATTTTAGGGCGTTGAACACACAAATAACATACATTTTTAGAAAATAATCTTTAATATTGCTGTTCCAAAAGCCCACATCATTCGGGATGTTGATGATCATGGATCTCCACGATTTCTTGTTCTTTGTTTTACTTAATAAATTATTTCCTTATTTAATCTCTCTTCACCCTTGTTCCAACATCAATTTACTCAAGCTCTAATTAGATTATGTGTTTCTTTTCGTCTATCCCTCTTGCTTTAAATATGCCCTGTGAGTATCAGATTTTCCAAGCCTTCTTTCCTCATTATATGCCCTAAGTATTTCAACTTTTTGTTCCTAATGTTAAGTATAAGTGTCCTTTTCGTTTCTATTTATTCTGAAAGATTGTCGTTGCTCACATGTTTGGTCCA